TCAAAAACTAAATTCTTATTTTAAACAAGTTGGTATTATTCATCGTATTGTATGCCGTTACACTCATGAACAAAATGGCATCTTTGAATGCAAGATCATGCATATTGTTGACACCGGCCTAACCACTTTGGCACATGTTGCTATTCCTTTCAAATTATGGCCTTATGCTTTTCAAAAAAGTGTCTAGTTAATCAACTTATTGCCCATTCCTCTTCTCAAGAATAAAACACTATACGAATTACTACATGGCCGATAACCTAAATATACAAACCTAAAAATATTTGGTTGTGCTATCTATCCCCTTTCTCTGTCTATATAACCAACATAAATTTTCTTTTCGCACTAAGGTCTATGTTTATCTAGAACAGTCACCTCATCACCCATGGTCACTTGTGTCTAGACCCTGAAACTCATAGAGTTTATGTAGTTAGACCTGTCAAATTTGATGAACCCTCTTTCTCGTACCAAACAAAAGTTGCCTAACATAAAAGTCCTACATTGTCATAATCTTCACCAGCTCTGTGGATGACAATTTCAGTTCCATCTCCTCCTCCCACGCAACAAGGTATGTCTATCTTTACTCCTTTATCCTTATCCCCACCTACTTCTGATTCCTCCCCTCCTATGACTCCTAATTCATCAATGATATAGCATGTTTCCTCCTCTTCTCCACCTACTATAGTAGCCAGGACGCTATCCCTTATATCCCATTCCTCTAATCCAACCCATGTTATCCACCGCACTATGCCAACTACCCCTCTATTGGCCAATTCCCCTCCAGGTCTGTACCTTGTGGTTGATTTTTCTTCCTACCGCCTATCCCATCCCATCCACTACCTTTGAACCTTCTCTCCCTCATGCTCACTCTATGGCCCTTCGTCCCTCAACCATACAAAAATGCCTAGCTCATGTTGTGCCCAAAGAAAAACCCACCCTCAATTACCTTGCCCCTGAACCATAGACCTACAGCCAAACTAAACCTTTCCGTGTCTGGTAGCAAGCCTCTTATTCCACGCCTTGTAAATGCTAACATTATTGAAAATAGGTGGGTCTATAGGATTAAACGCACTCTATATGGTAAGGTTGATCACTACAAAGCAAGGCTAGTGGTGAAGGGGTACACCCAAATATCAAGATTGGACTACACAGACGTTCAATCCTGTAGTTAAATCCACCACCATTCGGGTTCTATTGGCATTAACTTTCATGTTTAACTGGTCCATGCAGCAATTGGATGTTTCCAATGCCTTCTTGCATGGCCATCTTGTTGAACAGATATTCATGAAACTGACCACAAGGCTTTACTAAAAAAACAACAAAGGCAATTCTTTAACAGGAATCTTGAGTGGTGATATCGTGGTGGTAGCTGATCCGTTATTATAATCCTTACTTTACAATTAAAGTAGTGTTAACACAATAAAAAAGTTCTTTGGACTTTGGATTTTGGGACAAATAAAGTTTAATTTCTAATAGTTATTAACCACAAGTTCCATGCCCTGAATCTCTATTAAATTTTTGCACCCAATAATGGTAGTCTTTTAAACTGAATTGGTATTCTTACTTTTTTAATTGATGTGCAATTATTGACAGACAAGATCTGTACACTTGATGGAAGCTCTGAGATTGATAGAAGCTTAAAGCAATATTCCTCAAACCTCAAAGAATGAAGCTTAGGGAGGGGGTCAATGCCAGAAGGCAAACTGAAGAATTTGTTTCCAGGATATATGTTCATTTTTTAGATGATCATATACGGTCGAAATTATCAAAAAAATAATTCATAGTATCAAAATAAAAATTCAAGTACTTATATTATGCAGCCAAATTAATTTGTCAATTACAATTGATACCAACATTTGATGATTCGATGTCTATAATTGCTGCCATTTTTTCTCTCTCTTGATACATGGGAACAAAGAAGAAGGCTTAGGACAGAAACTGAACGCGAAGAACAGTTCATGACACGAGATAAAATCTACGAACATAACACAACAGTTTAATGACAAAGTACAGGGACCTAAAAGAAAAAAAATTAAAAGATCAGGGACTAAAATGACTCTCTAAAGGATTGTAATTGAAACAAATCTAAACCTACAGATCCTAATTGAATATTGAGAGTAGATGACAGGACGAATTCAGGATCAACCTGAACGACCTGTCGCTCTCAGATTTTGGCCCAGGCTTACAGGCCTCTGACCACACCATCCACTGGCCACTATTCATCTTCATCAGCGGCCAGAGGGACAAATCCCACACACATCTCCTGCAACCAAGCCCTGCAACCCCTGGACAAAGCCTTTGAACACCCTGATAACCTGCAACTGTCCTCTTGCTCCAGCAGAATTGAGAGTTAGGAGGAATTTTTTCTGAAGGCTTGAGCAGTTGGAAAAAACAGAGAGCAATTTTAGGAGGGAATCGCAAAAGGTGCAGCAACAATTAAAGAGATAAATTGAGAAATATATATATATATATATAGGCAATAGGAGGGTGAGGAGGTCTTACCAAACGGCCCAAAGGAGGAGAAACTGAACTAGCAGCATCAAGACACCCAGAAGAGCACCAATTCGCCCACTGAAGTAGCAACCACCCATTGCAACTCCTTCATCCTCATCAGGACATCTACAGTCAGCCATCTAGGTAAGAATCTTTCTTTTTTTTTTTCTTTCCTTCGATTTGCCACTTTTATTGGCTTCAATCGATCCACAAAAGAAAAAAAACGATGGAAATCATCGGCTAACATCTCACAACTCTCGAAATTTTTCTTCGTGGGTTTTGAATTTGTGAAATGAGGAAGAGAATAGGGTTCTGGTCGTTTTAGAAAGTTGGATTATAGGTGTAATAGATTTGATTTTTAGGTTTTGTGGGTTCTATTCAAGAAAGCTAAAACCTAAGGCTTTCAATTTAGGCAGAAAGAAAAGAAATTGGGGCAAACTTGTTGGGGTGAGGGGTTTAACTCGTTTGAAAGTAAAAAGGAAATGTCTTGAAAAGGGGAGATCCAAGATTGATCGAGGGAAAAAAGATGAAAGGGTAGCGGGTTTTGGGATTCGATTGTTCATGGTTTAGGTTTATGGACAGGGATAAACAACCCTTGATTTGGATGAGAGAGAGAGGGGAGATTGGGATCTGGTTTCTGGGTGATTAAATTATAAGAGGAGATCGTTTTTGAGCTTTCTGGGTTTCTTTTGGGAAGGATAAAGAAAGAGGTGGGAGAAAGGGAAGAGAGGATATTTTGATCCAAAAGAAATGAAGAAAAATAAAGAGAGAAGAGGTGTTTGGGGTAATGTCTAGGGCCAGAGACAAAGAAAAGAGGACGGACTAGGCCTAGCCCAACCTACTTGAGGCCTGGACTGGGTTGATCTGAGCCCTGCCTAGGCCCAAAACCAAAGGTGGGTGGCCTGCACAGAAGGCCAACCCAGCAACCCATCCAGTGAGCCCGACCCAACGGGCCAAGGGCCCATCGTCCCAAAAAGAAGAAGAAGAGAATCCATTGCTTTGTCTTTACCTAGTCTCCTAAATTAGCACCGAATTTCCTTTTGCCTGTACCTTTTTTCATCTTTTGCTCAATTTTGATCTGATATTTTGAATTGCCCGGTTTAAGAGTTATTAGGTAATTAATTTAGGTAATTAACCGGCTGACGAGTTGTCGGATCTCCTAATTTTTAAAAGCTGATGATGATTCCCCACAAAAAATAAAAAATAAAAAAACTAGTATATATATATATAAAAAGGGAAATATTCAAAAAGAATAAAAAATTAAAAAAATTAGGTGAAAATTTAACATAGTCTTCTAACTAATAGAGACCGATATTCGTTCAAAATAATCATATTTTAGTAATTAGGTTGTTTTTTGACATACTAGTTACGTTGAGACTTAAATTGGATCAAATGTTGAATCAATGAGACGCTCAACGTTCGATAGAGGGGTCCAATAATCAGTTCAATATATAATGTCACAAAAAAAAAAAAAAGTTAATTTGACACAAAATAAAACTTAGAATTTTGATTAGAATTAATTTCGACAAAAATAGAAACTTTTGTATAATAGATTGGTGGAGAAAGCCTTGCAACCCATATTGTATTTTACAACAAATAAAAGTTAGTTTCAAAATTAATTTTTTTCAGTTAAATCTCCATATTTCAAATTGTAAAATTGATCAAAATTAGTCAAATAATTTTAATAGATTGATGGACAATGTAAGAGTTAAGTGAATTTATATAGATATATCTGTTTAGAAAATAAAAATTTTGGTTCATATAATATTAGATATCTATTATGAGAATTTTATTTTATTTTCTTTCTTTTAAAAAAAAATCAAGACAAAAAATAAAAACAAAAAAGAAGGAAAAAAAATCATAATAAATATATGATATTATAGGAAAGAATTCTATCTCAAGATAATAGCTAATTTCCTAAACTTCTTCATAATTTTTTATTGTCTAGTTACTCACTCATTTGGAAAAAAATTACAGGCTTTAGTTTTGATTTTTAATGATGAGAACCCTAGTTGAATCATGCACATTTTTAACAGCATCAAGCTGACCTCAACCTACAGCTTTTTCTGCTTCAATCTCCGAACCATGTTCAATGAAATCAGACTTTCTAGGTTGATCTTTTAAATTCGTCTCATGACTAGAAATTTTTTTTGTTGTTACATGTCCTTCTTCCTGAAAGTTAATCAATAACAAAGTTTGATCTCAAATATCAAAATAGTCCCAAACTTTTATTAACCCAACGCAGGGCAGTCCACTGCTTCCTAGAACAAGTCTGAGCTTTAGAAACTTACTTGAACCCATTTTATTTGTGCTAAAACAGAGAATACGCTCTATTCACCATTTTGAATATGTTCTATTCCCGTTTGTGCTGAAAAGGAACCTTGCTCATGAGGATCAAACCAAGAAAAATGGAGAAAACAAAACCTATATTCTAAACAACTTTATTTTCTTAATCAGACATTCATGTCACCATTTGAACAACAATGCCTTTCAAGGAGAAAATAGTATGCTCAACCTTTTGGACGAGGGGCCAGGAATGATATTATGTGGTGCCTAAAAGGACAAAAGCTGATGAAGGGGACATCTCGTGCTTGCAACATCTTTAGTAAATAAGATATCCATTGCTCCCTAGTAGAGGATGCAATTGAACCCAAAAGGGGATGATGAAGACGATGATGTTTGAGTATCACTCTGTCTGTTCCACTTTGGCTGTCAATCTCATCCTCCTCTTCAACGTCCACAGAAGCTGATATTCTTTGGTTATCAATGTCATTATTCCACTCCCACTCCCACTCTTCAAATGAACCTGGCTTCTCTACAATCACATGGATTCCAATTTCTTTGAGTTCAGTATTAGATGAAACCAATTCGTCATTCCATAATTGCAGATGCAGCTCCAATTCTTCTCCACAATATTCATCTATTGCCATCTCACCTTTTCTTACATATCTCACCCAACATGAAGTCCAAACTTCTCCTATGCGACTTTCGAACAATTGAATACCGTTGCTTTTATTTTTGATATAAACGTTACATGCGCAAGTACTAAGCAATAGATCCGGAGACTTAAGGACAGTCCAAATAGCTAACCCTTGAAAAAATGGAGGTAGATGAAACGATAATGAACTTTTCTCTCCGCTATAGCTGAACCAATTTGGTATGTCACTATTACTCAAAAAAATGTCATACCCATATTTATTGTTGCTCCATACCTATATGTTGATTTAAAGGAAAGTTGAAATGTTAGACACTAATAATCAACATACTATATACATATATATATATATATATATATAATTTTACCAAAAAAATGCTTTAACTACGGATGGAAATTCAATTAATATTTTAATTTATTAATTATTTCCGTCGATAATTCCATCATAAATAAGTAGATTATTTTAAAAGATAAGTTAATTCCGAAAATTATTTATTAATTTTTAAAACAATAATTTCCATCACTAAATTAAAAATCCTACCAATTTTTCTTCTTTTTCCCAAATATTTGGCCCCTGCCCCAAAATTCCTTCAAATTTCTCCCATTTAGACCTCTCTCTCATTCCCAAACTTTTTTCATATCTCACAAGCTTATATTCATTGCCTCTCACATCCTCTCTTCCATTCCCTTAATTTCTCTCCGTATTTCTTCATTCTTCCTTCTCTTAATCAACCAGCCATCAATATTTTCTTAGAAGAACAACTTCTTGTCTCTTCTTTCTTACTTTCACTTTATATTTTTTTGTTATATATATAAATATATACATTCTTTTGTGTGTAGATCATTTTATAGTTGATTATTTAATTTGTTGATATTGTTTTATTATTATTATTCTTTTGTGTAGATCATGTTATGACAATTGGGTGTTTATCTTATGTTTGATGGTAATAATAATTAAAAAAAAAGTTGGGTTTATGAATTATGAGTTTCTATATAATTATCGGTTTTGTATCCATAATATGAATTTCCGTAAATGATGTTTTTCTTAGGGTGCTTTTTTCATTGAATTTAATTGTAGGAATACAAATTCATTAATAACAATACTTAATTTTTTTGACATTTTTTAAATTTACACTACAGATGAAATTTCAATTTTTTGATATAAATGCTTTTTAAAAAGCCGTTAGCCAAAGAGATAAAGCAATATTTTATGAGATTTTATATTTATAATATAAGTATTAATGTTGGTAGCATATAAAGAAAATAGCTAAGATTAAACTAAAGTGATAAATCATATTAACATTAGTTTCAAGAAAGTCCAATCCGTGTATGTGTGTGCAGGAGACATGGATAAAAGATATATAGCAGTACCTCAGCATGACTCCTCTTATAACTTTCCGATAAACGGTAGCAATCATCAGAGTAAACCGTCAAGCCATCATCCATACCTTCCATGCCCTCGATCTCCATCAAATTTCGGCACCCAGATACGATCAAATCTGGAGATCTTTTTGACTGAATTGGCAGTCTTATCCTTTCCATTGATTTGCAACCCCTTGCATACAACTTCACTAAACTTGAAGGAAGCTCTGAAATTAATAAAAGATTTATGCAACCCGTAACATCCAAAAACCAGAGCCTAGGAAGTTGGCCAATTCCAGTAGGTAGATTGAGGAATTTGCTTTCTGATAAATGCAATTCTTCAAGAGAGGACAAACTCCAGAAATCAACACAATTCACTGCAGTTTCAGACAAACCGAGGGAAGCAAGTTTTAGTTTTGTCAATAAACCCCAACCAGCAACAGAAGTTGGCAGCGAAGCTTTCCAATTGAAATCTCTTGGTGAAAGCCATGATGAAATTCGTGAAACCCAAGATGTAGATGATGGTGAGTCCTGATTGGAACTGTATCCACGCAATGATAACTTCCTGGCATATTTGAAACGTACAATTGAAGAGAGAAATTTCTCATTTTCAATTCCATTTGCTACCACTTCCGTTAAGGATTCTATATCACCCATGTGTTCTGGCAACTTCTCAAGCTGTGAGCACCCAGAAATGTTCAAAGTTTCAAGAGATTTTACATCACCAATGCTTTCTGGAAGAATCTTTAGCCTGCAGCATCCCTTCAAATTCAGGAGAACAAGCATCTTCAAATATCCAATAGATTGCGGTACCTCAACTAAACTAGTGCAATTTTTAAGTATCAGTCTCTCCAAATTTGAAAGTCCCAAGAAGTTTGGCAGTTTAGCGAGGTCCTTGCAATAGCTGAGATTGAGGATTTTCAGCTTGTCGAGGATCTGGCAAAGCATTAAATAAGCAAAAGAACTCAAACAAAGCTAGTAAAACGTAACGTGTAAATTTTAATTTTTGAAACTGCATTTTACATACCTTGATCTTCTTCCAGAGTTCTTTGATGTTGCTGTACCGCATATCAAGAATAACGAGGTTGCCCAGTTCAAAATCAGATGGCAAGGATTTCAAAGGACATCCATGCCAACACAACCATATCAACCCTTTGGGAAGAGGTTTGAAACATCCAATGAGATGTAAACCGTTAATCTTGAGTAATTGTAAATTTTTCATCTTTGTAAATGATTCTGTGCTCAAAGGTTCCACTTTTGATGCTGTCACATCCAGCGCAAGACCCTCTACAGCTTTTGTTCCCTGAAAGACACCAAAATTCAATAGAACTCTCATATGATTGGTTGGAAATAGATTTATACGTAGGCATTTCGTTGAAGATCAGCAGAGTTTTCAGAAACAAAAAACAAAGCGATACTACTGATTGTGATTTTGCATAGAACATTCTGAATAAGCATTTAGTTCTTACCGTCCGCATGATGAGGACATTCCATGCATCTTCATGAAGCCAAATTCGATTGCGTTTTCCAGGATCATTCGGAGATATTCTACGAATAATCTCTCTTGCCATGTCTCGTAATAAATCATGCATCTTTATCTCACCCCGACAATTTACTCTTATTAAAGACCTTTCGATGAGAGTTCCCAAATCATCTTCTGGATTGAAACCACAACGGGCTTGAAGAATTTCTGCTACAAAATCTTTCCTTCTACCAATAAAAAAGCATGCAATATCAAGGAATGCGTTTTGTAGTTTATCATCATCCAGCGTGTCAAAACTTATTCTAAGCTTTGCCTGAATATCACAGTTTGGAACTTCTCTCAATCTCTCAATGACACATTTCCATCTAGTTTTGTTTTTCTCAATCAAACAAGAACCCAAAACTTCAAGAGCTAAAGGAAGTCCTCCACAATAATCAACAACATCATTCGCAAGCTCCACATAATCCTCCACTAGAAGTTTATCCCTAAAGGCATGCCAACTGAAAAGCTGAAGTGACTCATACCGCTTCAATTGTTTGACATCATATTTTTTGTCCACTTTAAGCAGCAAACGTTCATTTTTAGTGGTAATGATTATTTTACTTCCAGCACCATACCAACTTCGCTCTCGCATCAATACATTTAGTTGTTTCAATTGATCCACATCATCAAGAACAACAAGAACTCTTTTGTGACAAAGTCTTTCTTGGATGACATTCATTCCTCTATCAACATTATTGATATTCCAAATTTTTGGCCTCAAAATATCGCCAAGAAGTTGTTTTTGTAATAAAATCAGGCCATTATGTTGCTCTGATGTTTCTGTGATATTTGAAAGAAAACAGCTTCCCTCGAATCCATAACAAAGTTGGTTAAATACAGCTTTTGCTATGGTTGTCTTTCCTATTCCTGCCATCCCATGTATGCCAATCATGCAAACATCATCTGTTGTTTTACTTAGAAAGTTGCAAATATCATGGACAATGGAATGGATGCCCACTAGGTGTGGAGGAACATCTAAGTACTTGGGATCCAATTTATTCAACACATCTTCGATAATCTTCTGGACAAATTTTGATTCATGTCTGTTCATGCATAAAAAAAAAGTCGTCACTGACGAGATAGGTGAACATTGCTCAAAGAAATTTGTTACTGTTCAATATTGTAATTCAAATCTAACGTGCATCATAAATTCACAAGCCTTGGATTGATAATAAACGACTTCAAATTGATGCCTACAAGTGAACCATAAAAAGAAAAAGCATACCCATTTGCCATCTCATTTAGATTCCATCCAGATAGATTTCCAGCCTCCTCAAGAGCTTTTCTCCACTCCTTTGCCTTCTCTTTAAATTGTTCTTCATGCTTATCAAATGCTTTTGCAAAACTACCTGTTTGTTTTCGAACATCTGAAGGATCAATGTCACAAAATATCGGAAGAACAATCTGGTTAGTATTCCTATTTTTGCACTCAAGAATCTGTACAAGTTCGTTAAGACACCATCTAGAAGAAGCATAGCCTTTTGAGAAGACAACTATTGATATCTTTGATTCTTGAATTGCCTTGACGAGATGTTTGGAGATTTCTTCTCCTCTAGGAAGTTCATTATCATCTCGGAAAGTGTGGATTCCTGCTTGGACTAAGGCAGTATATAGATGATCTGTAAAATTCTTACGAGTATCTTTTCCTCTAAAACTCAGAACGACATCATAGGCTCCTTTTGGTCTAGATCGAGAAGATCCTGGCTCTGTCATGGTAGCTACAGAAAATAAAGCACTTTAATTAGCAATGCAACAATTGGAGAAGGAATGCATGTCAAGTGATCATCAAGACAATACATATGAGTGTGCTGAGTAGTAATTTCACAAAAAAACAAACGGATTCATGACTTTTGTTACTTTCACATCTACGAGTCAGTCAATGGAATTCTTCATTTTTTATCCTTGTTCAATAGTTTCTTTTAAAAATCTAGGGCTAACAGTAAGTCAATGCGAGCCATTTAATTTTGACTTCAAGAACATGAGCCGTGCAAAAATGATCGTAGGGAAGTTCATCATCATCCTGAAATGGATGTATTACTGCTTGGACTACGGCTGTATAAATATGATTTTTAAACTCTTTCAAGTATCACCCCCTTATTCTGAAAAAG